CCCACCCCCGACGCTGCGCTGTCCTCCTCGCAGTTCAATACCGTGTCGAGACCATCCGACGACGAGGAGGCCGCAAGGAACCCGTTCATCCCGCCGCTGCCATTGCGCGTCAGTCGCCACGGATCGTCGAGGCCGCCGGCGCCGGCGCCCATCCCACCCATCGCATTCGTCAGGAAGGAATTCGACGTGCGCTGTCGATGCTGCAGAACCGCGACGCCGCAGCCCGCGCTGCTGGAGCGATTACTGCCGTTACTGTTGCCTTGATGGTGCAGGCCGTGCACTGCCCGCGCACGCAGGCAGACCTGCTGGATGCCCCCGCCCTGCTTCCCCTCCCCACGACGCGTCTCGAGGATGCCGCACACGCAGACGCCATCGCCCACCGTCACGGCGTCAAGCCACGGTGGGCGCAGCTCCACTTCAATCATCACGTGCATCCCGCCACCACCACCACCACCACCGTTGTTGTCGCTGTTGCTTCCGCTGCTGTTTTTATTTGCATTTGTTGGGCTCGGTGAGGCGTCAAAGAACGTGGTGTGCTCCTGCAGCCGCAGCAGCTGCACCTCCTCGCACACCGCCTGCTCCGTCAGCGCAGCCCACTTGTAGCCGCGGCAGCGCGCCGTCGAGCACGGCCCGGGGTAGGTCAGCACGCCGTCCTCGGTCGTCTGCTCCTTCACTACGCCGCAGTGCCCGCATCGGTAGGACATGCAGAGGCAGGAGATGCGCGTCGGGCTCATGCGGACAATAGTGCCTTTGATCGTGAGCAGCCGGCCGAGCTGCGCGGCACCCAAGTGATCGAAGGGGGTCGCGTGACGCGCATCCCCGCTGACCGCCGCGTACACACGTCTTAGAGCCGGTGCTGACAGGGACGAGGATGATGGAGACGCTGGTTGTCGTGCACGCCGGTCCTCGTACTGGTAGAGCCACACCGCGGTAAAGAAGGCAATCAACGCCAAGACGATGGTGGGCTGGTCGAGCAGGGCGGCCCGCATTACGGGGGTGAGGGCGTTGCCCAGGCCGCCGCCGCTGTCTTCCTCCTCGCCTGCAATACTCTCCATGCTCCCGGTGCGGTGGTGGCGATGACAGCCCGCACCGTCATCGCGGTGACGATGCGTACGGCGGCCGTGCGCCGTCGTCGCCGCTGTGTCCACCAGACTCAGCAGCACACAATCAGTCAAGGCGACGCTGGCGGCGGTGCCGGTGTTCACCGTCTCTGGCGTCGCCTCCGGGATTGCGAGCGGGTAGACGTCGAGTTGGCTCAGCAGCGGTTGGAAGACGTCCCACATGGCTTCGACAATGGGGTCGGTGTAGCGGACCGCTCCGGTGAGGGGGCAGCCGCAGTGCAACTCCCACAGCGCATCCATCCATGCATTGGCGTCGCTGCCGCCGCCGGCGTTGCGGGTGCGGTGCGGCGGGTTTCGCGGTGGTGCCCCGGGCAGCAACGCTTGACGAGTCGCCATTGATGTGTCGGCGCACCCTGGCCTTTTTTGGCAGACAGCAAGATCTCTAAAATAAAATAATAAAAAAGAATAAATGAAATTAACTCAATAGTTCGTTGTTCGTTGCAGCGGCGCTAGCAGGCGCGAGAGCAGTCAAACGGAAGAGCTATTTTTTGAAAGGAGTTATCCACAGCAGTAAACAGCAGTAAGGTGAAGAGCTCCAGCAGGAAGAGGGGAGAAGAGGGAGAGAGGTGGATTGGTGGGCTACGGAGAACGTCCGCGGCGGTGTGATGTGTTGCTGGAGAAGATCTGTGGTGGCGCTTCCACTGTGCAAAGGCGGCACATGTGTGTGCTTCCATGTGTAATATAATAATAATGTATTTACATATATGATGTTTTCGTTTTCTCGCTTCGTTTGGGGATGCGAAGCGCACTCGTATACGCTCTAAGGAAGACACGGCGGAAGGCCAAATGGACGGTGCAACTCCAAACCCGCGGGCAAGTGTGGATCACCTGTGGCGAGACGATAAAGAAAGAAAAGAAAAGAAGAGGATGCGAAGCGAAGAAAGAAGAATCACGCATCACAGCCAATACAAATGTATATATAGATAAGCCTGTCGATTATGAGAAAAGGTCAAGCAGCAACGTCCTCTACACGCAACACCCTCGCCGCGGTCGTGTCTGTGCATGCCCAAGTGTGAAGGGATAACAATTATTATCATTATCATAATAATAATACATGGAATAGTGACAAGGGGACGGAGGAGAGGTAAAGCAGAGCCACAACAAAAGAGGATGATAAACGCCAATGCACGCTTCCTTTACATTTTTTTCTGCCTTTCGTTCTCATTCTCAGTGCTCACGGAGCAACACCGAGACGCGCGTCGACGACGACAGCGGTGCTCACAGCAGTCCTGCAGAAACAACGCGTTTGCCGATGCAGTCTTTTTCTCTTTGTCGAGCTTCCCCCTCTCCCTTTTCACAAGGAGTTCGTCGCCGCAGGGGGATCGATACATAAGCGTAGCTATCATTATTGATATTATTATAAATATATGTGTCGTTAAGGGGAAAAACTCTTCTCTGTTTGCATCCATGTGCACACGCGCTTCAGGTGTCTCCCCCGATCTGCCGCTCTTCCTATCCGAAGGCCATCACAGCCGCGCTGCAGCCCCCCCCCCCCCCTGCGTCTGCTATAACGGCTATGTGGCGGGGAGGAGAGAGCGAGCGAGCGTGCGAAGTAAAATGGTCGAGCAACGAGAAGGGTGAGACCGTCAAAAAAAAGAAGACGAAGACGCAAACAATGCGAAGATCTGTGAATTCAATGGAGTGAATAATAGTATTAATAATAATGATGATCAACAATCATAACAGCAATGCAGCGGTACTTACTTTTCAATGAAGACCCCCAAAAGAAACAGGAGGAGCAAATGGCCGCAAGCAGTCAGCGGCCACTCCTTCCTTCTCTTCCTCTCCTACGTTTCTACATCAACTCCTTCTCCTTGAAGGTGCGAATCAGTGAGCCATCCAACATCATACCCTTGCAGACGTCGTACCCACCCAGCAGTTCGCCATCCAGGTACACCTGGGGGTAGGTCGGCCAGTCGCTGTACTGCTTCAGGCCCTCACACACCTCCTCGTCGTCGAGAATATTAAAGAAGCTGTACTTGATGCCCAGCTGATTGAACAGGTCCACTAGCTGCACCGTGAAGCGGCAGCGAGGCTGCTCCGGCGTGCCGGTGAGAAAGACCACTAAACGATCGTGTTCGATGATGCCTTTAATGTCTTTCGCTAGTTCAGCCGGCACGTCAGACGGGGCGTGGAACACTCGCGAGGTGTGCAGCGACGCCGCGGAGGCACACAACGCTGGACGCACGTACGATGGACGAGGCAACACCGTGTGCATCGTGTGTGCTGCACCACGAAAGTAACGCGTGACGCCCCGCGCGGCCTCAGCCCGTGCACCCACAACGTCGAGGAAGCTTGCACAACGCATTGAAGAAATTACCAAAAAGAGAAGCACGCTCTTTTATTTTAAATAGTAGGAATAATCCGCACTGCTGCGCGGGTAAAAATCAATATTAGTATTACGATAACTACGTCGTAGCAGCCAGACAAAACTTTCTTTTTTGCTTTTAGCTGAAGAGCGGAGCAGCAACATCAACGGAAAATGGAGAGCTAGAAAGTCAAACGCCTGATGCGCCGGGGCCTGCAAAAAAGCAACGCAACGCCTTCTTTTCGTCCCTGTGAAGACGATAATGAGCGAGTTGGGCAACACAACGTTTCGTGAGCAGCGAGTTGTGTATAGCTCTAGTAAGCGGGGTATACAGGATATTTTTTTTGGGTGACCAGCGTGCGACGCACCATAAGAACGCGTGCACGCGATTGGCGGTGTCGTGTTTGGGCAACAGAAGAGCAGAAGAGGCGGCGAAAAGGAAGAAGGGTGCGCGAGTTTGGGTGCTCGTGCGAGGGGCAGTGGACGCGATGTGCAGGCGTTGATAGCACCTCAAGAAGAGGAGATAATAGGTGGTCCTGCGTGCCTCTCATGTGTTTCTGAAGCGGGCCTCACATAATCAAAGCTACTGCGGCTTCAAGACTGCCACAGCTAGTAAAAAGCCGAAAACTGCTTCACCTGTCTACTCGCACCATCGTCTGTTACTTCTACCAGTATTTTTCACGGTGCGGCTTACTCTCGCGCACTGAGAGATCAAAGAGAGAAAAGAAAACTCAAGAATAGAAAATGGCGTCCGGAACTTGTCGGGACCCCTCTGTCCAACAGCGGAAGTGCATTCTCCATTATCCATGCACCCTTCCTTTGCTTTTCTTCCTCCTCAACGGCGGGTACACCAGTACGTCAGCACGTCATCGCTGTAGCTCAACGCCCGCACACGGCACCCTTGACCGATGCAAATCGACGCGAGAGAAGGCGGAGGTGCGAGCTCGTACATGATGGGCGCCGCCGCCGTCGCCGCTGCTGCTGCCGCCGCATCGCTGGCACCCATCGCTTCCTCGTCCACCGTGACGCGTGGACCCTGCACGTCAGTGCGGCTGCGCTTGTGACCGCTTTCCTGGCCAATCTGCTCGAGGCCACGATTCGACGGTGCCGTGGCCCCGCCTCCCGTCATCACCACACACACCCCACAGGACGAGCGAGTGGACGACGGCCTGCCCATCGGCGCCTGCATCACCTCCCCCGCACCCGCGCAGGGCACGTACGAGGCACATACCAGGGCGGCAGCGGACACCGCCGTCGGCGCCGCAGGGCACAGCCACTCCGTGCTCGCGTCATCGAACGACGAGGTCGATACCACACCTGCGCATGCTTCGTCGCTGCTCGCAGTTGTGCGAGTCACATGCGAGGATGACACGTTCGCTGTATTGGGCTGCCACGCAGGGGAGCACGTCGGCGCCTCGGCCGCCCAGACCGGTGCGGAAGGCTTACGGCAGTCATACAGCATCCACCAGCGGTCTTCGCCTATAGTGCTCCAGTGGGCAGCCGCGGGACCCACACGTGACACGGTGATGAGGTAAGCGTACGGGCTTTCCTGGACTGCCGGAGAGGCCGCGAGAGATGAAGGCGGGGCCTCCAGCACCGACGTCACCGCCCAACGGCTAAATCCTGCGGTCATAGGCGATGGCAAGTCGCACCGCGCGTTGAACCGGTCGGGGAGGTTGAAAAACACGGTGGGCGTGACAGTGGTGGTCGAGAAGAGACCGACGTGGCGGTGGGAGGCGGCGGCAAAGACGCGGCCAGCTGTGGGGCCAGCAACACCCCCTCCCGCGGCCGTGAAGGGGCGGCGGCGGTGACGGTGCGCCGGCGGTTCATCTTGCGGCATCGCAGCACCCTCCTCCACCGCGGATGGAGCACGTCGGCGGACGTCGAAGATGCGCACGCCTCGCCGCACCCCATCGCTGCCGCCCACCGGCTTTTTGACGCCTGCCGTCGTGCTTTTTCCCTCCGGGGTACGCATCGCCCGGACACCGCTGTTGATGCTTGCGGCATCCGCGGCAACGTCATCATTGTCCTCGTCGTCGTCCGGCATACTCAGAGGCACCGCCCACGCCGCCTCGCGCGCTACGGCGGCCATCCACAAACGATGCGTTGTCACGCGCGCAGAGGCACGTGCGGCTCCGTCGCCGCCGCCGCCGTAGCGCCCCTCACCTCTACGCTGACAAAACAAATACCCGTCGGTGGCACCACCGTTGTGGTGTTGTCCTAGTGGATCGCCATGGAAGAAGGAATACTCTTGCTGACAAGGGATGATCGTCTCCACTGCTGTCCAGGTAGCAGAACAACAACACGACTTCAGCGAGGCGTTGGATGTTGCGGCTGTAGCGGCAGCGGTGGTGGTGAAGAGGCGAGATTGCTCATCATGGAGAAACATGGTCGACTGTACCCACTCCACGCTGCCGTCTGGGTTGTGGTGTGTGGCGCGCAGCACGGAGACTGTGGACTGGTCATCGCCGAGTGCGACTACCGCCCCCAAGGCCGAGGCCTCTTCTGTCCGGTCAGCCGGGTTGCCGCTTCTACGTTGTGACTGCTGTTGTGTGTTAGCGTCACCGGCGCCTGCGGACACCCAGCAGGAGGCGGTGAGTGTGCGGTGCGGCTGCAGGAGCACCATTCGATTCTCGGCCAGCCGTGCATCCCGCTCCTGTGTGGCAACGCGTTGATGATGCCATGCGAGTTCGTTGCTTGAGGTGAGACGCACGAGCTGACACTCGTGGCGTCCGCGGACGAGAACACTGGTGCGGTCGGGTGACGGCTGCACTGCCGCCCAGCCCAGCGACGGCGTCAGCAGCGGCGGCGGCAGGCAAATTACCTGCGACGGGATGTTTGTTGCGTGCCCTTCATGATTCATCGCCTGCGCAATTAACTGTCCTTTAAAGGAGCCTGTTGAAGAGCTGCAGAGCTCTTCTGCTGTGCATATGTATTCTTTTTCTTTTTACCAGGGGAGACACAAAACATGAAGAAGAGGGGAAGAGAGAAGAGGGTGGAGGAGGGAGTGTATTACGCAACGCGAACGCGTAGCCACGGAAGGCGCATACGCACCGCATGCGAAAGCACGTGCATTTGCAGGTGCCGTACATCGCCGTTCCGAGCGACGGAAGATCAGACGGCGAGGTGGAACGCACAGACGATAGAAAAAGGCGACGGTCACGCGACGTTCATCGGCGCTTCCGCGACACCTTAAAAACAATAATAATAGAAGAGGAACGATGGAGACTGACGGCAAGACTCGCGAGAGAAAACGAGAAGGAAGGAGCGACGTATTGCATTTTATTTAACCGAAGCGGAGAGCTCCAACGTCATACGACACAGCACAATATAGTTAATTAGAAGATATGGCAAACTAAAAAAAAGGATGAAGAAGAAAATGCGTGAGAGCGGCAGCAAACAACACCAACGCGCCTTCTCAGTGCCGCGCGACACTTCCCGACGCAGGCAGCCCCACAAGCACCTTGAAGCCATCATACACCACCCACTGCAGCGCCGTCATGGCACTCACCATCAACAAACGCGGCGCCAGGCCCTTCCACACTCCATGCCAGCCCAGCTCACGCACCACCACGACGACATCGTGCAACGCGCCGGAGGACCCGCCGGGGATACCACCGCTGACACCACTGTTGATGCGTGCCGCTGCAATGGCGGTGGCTAACAGAGGTGCGCCAGCGTCGCCGCTCCCTCCACCGACCGCCACCACGGCGCTGCTCCTCTGGTTCAGCTTCGACAGCACCGTGTCCGCCGGGTGCGACACCAACCCGCACAGCACCCCCGCCAGCATCCCGGCCATCAAGCTCACGAGCAACGTCCCCATCGTGCTCGGGTGATCGCGATCGAGCAGCCCCGCCGCGTGGAAGGCGGCCGCCAAGCTCACCACGATCACCTCAAAGGACGCAAACTTCATCATCGTGTACGGCACCTGTCGACACCACAGCGGGACAAGGCCTTTGTAGAAGCCATGCAGCCCCTCCGCCTCCCACATCCGCGGCAGGGCAGCGTGCAGGCTGGTGGGAAAGGTGCTGGAGGTCTGCATGCGGATCTTCACTGCCTCCCACGGGGCGAGGCCGAGATCGGCCACCACCTCCGCCGAGGAGCTCGCCAGCAGGAACATCATCACCTGAAACACACGAGCGTCGTAGAGCGTCGGGCTCGGCTTTTCAGCCGGGGCACGCAACTCGTCCGCCGCGTGTTTGCGGGCCAGCGGTGCGAACAGCAGCACGTACTTCAACACCTCGTAGAGGGAGAACTTCAACGCACCCTGAATGCAGTAGCCCCACACCGTCGGCACCCACCCGCGGAAGAAGAGCGGCAGCGCGCGCAGCACCGAGCCGTCGGCCTCGGCGCGGTAGAGCTGCACGAAGCCCTCCGTGAAGCTGTGATACTCACCGACCTGCACCCGGCACTTCAGCACGTCGATCGGCGTCACGAACACGTGCACCGTGCCCGCCACCACACCACCCAGGAAGCAGTACACAAAATACTGAAAGGTGTGGGGAAGCACTCGCCCTGTTGCCGGGTCGACGCTCGCGTCGGCGGTGGAGAGCCAGACACAGCACGCACCGAGCAGCACCACCGCCGCCGCCAGCGCGGCCGCCGTGACGAGGCGGCGCAGGCAAGTCCGCTCGCGGGTGCGCATCATCGGGGTGATGAAGGGCTGCGCGCCGGGCGCCTTCACGGCGAGCACGTCGGTGAGCCCGTCGCTGGCCGGGGCCGGCGAGGTTGGGAAGTTGGTGGAGTAAGCGCTGCTGTCGCCGGTCTGCGGGTCCTTGCTCTCCGTGGGGGAATGGCCGGGGGTGCAGACGGCGGCGATGACGTTGCGGCCGTGCAGCTGCGTTACTGTCGGCGCCTGCGTGCTGGTAAGCATCCTTCCACAACGATCCTGACGGTGGTAGCGGCGAAGTAGGCTTCGATGGTTGTTTCGCGCAGTTGCAAGCAACCCCAAGCACGCAAGAAGCCCTCGTGGATACAATGACGTGAGGTCCACGGTGGAAGCACGTGCGGAGAACTCGAAATAAACCGAAGGGGGGGGGGGATTACACGGGGCCCACAACAGAAAAGGACGGTTGCAAGCAACAAAGGAGAAGGCCTCACCGCTGCGAACAGTCAATGACAATCAAGTGTGTATAATAAAGAAGGAATTGTAAAAAATAAATAAACATTTATATATAAATACAAATGATCCTCTTTTGAAAGAACGAAAAAAGAAGACCTGGTGGAAGCCGAAGAGTCGATAATACAGAACGCTTCCTGTGTGTGTGTGTGGTTGAAAGAAGGCAGTGGTAGCTTTGCCGCTTTCCGCAGCGCTGCTTCAACGGGGGAAACAGAACAATGACGAGAAAAGGAAAATAAAAGAAAAAGAGAGCTCTTGTAATAAGAAGGGAAGATCCGCGTGTTTTTTGAGTTGTGAAGTCAGTAAGGAAGCACGTCGATGCACACCAACGCGAAGGGGGGAAGGGGGGGGGGGGAGAAGGAAGCTGCGAGAATGCGCTGACGGGGACGACAAAGCTGCCAATATTTGCTGTATGAATATAGATCTCTATATACGAAGAAGAGAGAAGATGGCAGTACAACGCAATAGAGAAGCGAGAGAGACTCTTTTTTTGCAGACAAGCACAGTTAAGGCACTGGCACAGGGAATAGAAGCACAGACCTAATACTTTAAACGAAAAGGAAAAGAAGACTTCCGGATTCCGAGGCATGAAAGTTACGGAGGAACGATGTAGGCGCAAGAGGTAGAGGCGGAAGAGGAGAGAGCGTTCAAGGTGAGTTCGATAGAAGTGAAAAGAGACAGACTTCACGCACCACACATTTCCTTTTTTGGTCTCGAGTGTCACAGTCCCCGATCCCCCGCTTGAGGAGTTCGCTGCCGCTTGGGACGGAAAGGAGCTCCTTCATCAAACGATGACATGCCCCCATCATTCCCCGGGCACATCGCCAAGAGAGTGTCACACGTGATCGCAATTTAAAAAAATTAGCACGATTATCGTGACAACTTCTTCTCGCGAGCTTTGTCGTTAGTTGCCAAGTGCAGCATACAGCAGAGATCAATAAAGGGAGAGCTACACACAAACAGGCAACGAGAGAGAGAGAGAGAGAGAATCGACCGTTGAGGAAGCTCGTTGCACAGATCCGGCTCAGCGGCTTGCGAAGACACGCACCACCGCCCCATCACCGCTCACCTGATAAAGCACGGCATGCCAGTCGTAAACGGCTCGAAGCCACTCCCCACTTTCTTTGCGTTCTTGTGGCTGCTGCTGCTCTTCTGTGGCGGATGGTGGCGCCATACACGCGTAAAGAACCTTCATCAGTGTGTCCTGCTGCTGCATGGTTAGACGCTCCAATAACGCCAAGCGGCGCTGCACCGCCACGGGTGAGGGCGCAGGTTGTGCACACGATGACGTGCTTGTCGGCGCGGCTGCCGCGGCAGCATCAGGCGCTCGTGCGTGCGGAGAAGCCACTGCTTTTACATCTTCATCTCGCAGCAGTTGAAAGACGTGCTGCGCGTCGCTTCGTCGCAGCTGCCGAAACGACGTGGAAGCGAGCCGATCGAGTTCCTTCATAAACGTGGACGGCAGCTCCTCCTCCGGCCGCGGCAGCGTCGGAGGTGCGTGTCCGCTCATGTGACGAGACGACGACTCTCGCTCTCACTGTATAAAAAAAGAAGGTTTATCGTCTTGTGATTGCGTGCGCGGGGAGTCCGGCGAAGGAGGACGAGAACAGTGCGTGTATGTTTGTGTGTGGAAAGGGGAGGGAAAGCAAATAAAATAAGACGAAACAGGTGAAATTTGTGTGAGAGAACGCCTGCGTACTGCTAATCACGACGAGGTTCTTTCCTTCTTTGGTACGAAGAGCACTTTTACGGTATCTGCCAAATGAACTACCCTCCCCTCCTCCTCCTCCCTCATCCACTCTGTTTTTCCTTCTTTCTAAAGACGGCACGCTTCATTGCGAAAGGGACTTGACGATGTGCCTGTACTCCTGCTTTCCCTCGCTGATGGTGAATAGAAGCGAAGACAGCCAAACAGTGAACGTCGCTCGTCATCGCTTGTGTTGTCCAGAATAACATATATATATTTTTCTCTTGCGAATTAAAGCCACATAGTTTTTCCCTTTAATAGCGAGATTGCTGTCAGTGCTGCTGCCGTTCTTCTTCACTTCCGCGTCCCATCCCAGCGGGAGGATACACGCGATGAGCGGCGGCGGAGGAGGGGGAATCCATGCCTCGATGAATATATAATGGTGGTAATGCACTCAAATACCTTTAAGATATTGCTTTCCTTTTTTTCTTAAGATGACGAATATCGTTATAGGAAGGTGGAAGGAAAGGTGCAAAAAAGAGGAAAAATGCGTGCTGTTTGATTAGTATTACGAAGTGTGTCTGTGTGTGCCACATACTCCCACACGCACTCGCAGATCTATGAGCGAATAGGCTGTGCTTGCAGGGGTGGGTGGGTGGTGGGGACGGCCCCAGGTCGCAATCAACGGCACGGAGCCTGAATTCTCCGCAGAGAACGCAGAGCGCCGTGGCACCCCGCCAACAACAAGAAAAAGGCTTTCTCTCTGTCTCGCTTCACAAAGGAAAACTAAAAAAAAAAACCGAAACAAGTAAGGCGGCGAGCTGCGCTGAATGCCCTGGTGCTTTCGTGAAGACCAGAGGCAGATCACCAAGCAGCAGACGACTCTCCAGCCCTTCCTCCTCCTCTTCCTATTTGTCGATAACAGGCCCCCAACTCCCTTCCACTCTTCTGCGCGGCTTCCGCTCCGGCGTCGCGAATTCCTTCCCTGAAGCAGACCGCACCATTCTGCAAAAAAAAAAAAGGCTATCGAGCAGAGAGCGCGGGAGTACCAAACACACACACACACACACGAAGCTGCTGAAGACGTTGCGCCTGCGCGTGCCACACGACCTTCGTCACGCCCAACATCTCTGCTTCTTTTTTTTATTGATCCCCGCTCCCCTCACCCCCCTCCCCCCTCCACTCTTCCCGCTTTACGGGTAACTGAAAACTCATGGGAAAGGTACGAAAAAGGAAAAGTACTTCGTATCTCGCTCTCCCTCTTTCTGCCTCTCCGCGTGTGACGCGGTGAGGAGGAGTCACACCGCGGGGCTTACAAGGACTTCTTCGCCGCCTCCGCGCCCGCCTGCGTGAGTACCTTGCGGCGCTGTCCCAGCATGTAGGAGTACATGACGTAGCTGCCGTACGGGTAGATGCCGAGCAGAATAAACCACACGCAGTTGTACCACGAGAAGGTAAAGTTCATCGTGTTCGGCAGCTCAACCGACCACGGCTTGTGCTCCGCGATCCACGGCAAGGACTTGTACAGGCATCCGATCTCACCGGTGATGCCGACCGGGTAGAGCACCATAAAGGCGGAGTAGCGCAGCCAGGTCAGCGGCGCCAGCTTCACCTTCAGCAGGTTCGCCCCGTAAAAGGAGTAACGGATGACCTCGCTCAGACCCCAGGCCATGACAATCTGCGCGAAGACGGGGCTCTTGGTGGCCTCGGTGTCACCGATGCGGACGGCGCCGTACAGGACGAGCAGACGGGAGAGGACCTGCAGAAAGGTCGTCGCGACGGGGCTGCGCACGAGGCCCAGCGCGGCGTGCACGATCTCCGCAACGGCGCCGGTCTGGAAGATGCACAGCAGCGTGGCGACGTTGGGGTAGACGGTGGAGGCGCTGCCGCCGTCAGCCAAGTGTTTCACCATCTTCGCCAGGATGACGCCCCAGCCGGCACACATGCCAGCGTTGTAGGCGAGCAGATACAGGTCCTTGATGTTCATCACGATGATGCTGGTGGTGGGAAAGCAAATCAAAAAAAAAAAAACAGAAGATGGAATGGAATAAAAAAATATAAAGATCTTAAGGGGAGCTGGAGAAGGCGGTGGCGATGGTGTGGCGCGGTGCGGTGATTCGATAAAAAGCTGTGTGCACGCAAACGCGTGAACTCATTTAAGGGAGAGAGAAGAGGGAGAGGAGGAAGGGAGGAAGTGCGAAATGAACTATGAAGAAGATTGCAGCTGGATTTTTAGATAACGCCGCTTTGCTGCTGTTGTTGTTCACTATGCAAAAGAAAACCCCTTTTTAGTTCTATTTCTATGCTCGCCATTTTCTTTTTGTCTTCAGTTTTACCAGTAATCATGCGCTTCTCTTCTTCCTTTTTCAAATGGAAAGATTTGTGAGAGGGGAGACTCTACCCATTAAGAAAAGTTCACTTCAGACGGCGCTTCTTTTTCGCTGAGCTGCCACCGCTGTCAAGGCCCATCATGTCCCCCATCAGCGCCTGCCAATCATTCGCCTCCTTTGCAATCTTCTCCGCGGTGTTCTGTCGCTCCTGCGCCACACGCTGCCGCTTCAGCTTCATCTGCTCCGCCCGCCGCGCCGCACGCTCCTCGTCGTTCTTCGGCCGGTGCCGGAGCTGCGCGTAGAACTTGCCGGTGCGGACGTGCGACAGCGGTACCAAGACGGTCTCCGACGGAGACGCCGCAGCTGCGGCAGCGGCAGTGGTAGCGGAGACCTCTGCCCACTTCTCCTGCTCCCCGGCTGGCACCTTCACAAACACCGTCCGTTCCAGGGTGAGTCGGTCCACCACCCCCGGGACGTAGCGGCCGGTGCGGGGGTGAATCACATGGCAGCCCGTCCCGCTTTGGAGCTCCTCGGCGGCGGTCGGCGACGGCTGCCACGGCCGCAGCGCCTCGCTGTACACCGCCTCCTCCACGTTGTGCCCGAGAATCCACGCCTTGTACTGCACTCGGTCCACCTCGTTTTCTGGCGGGACAAGACCGGTGATGACGCACGGGTACCACTCGCGCTCGTCAAAGAGCACCTCATAGGGGGCGCTCGCCGTCGGATCGACGGAGCTGCCGAGACCAGCCCCACTCGCAGCACCACCACCGCTGCTGTTGATGCTGCTGCTTGAAGATGGGGGAGGGGGAGGAGGGTAAAGGATGGTCGTCTCCGGCGCCCCACCAATCACCGCCGACTTGCTGACCTTCTTTATCAAACCGGGCGTCACCTGGATAGTTTCCTCGTCGTTTAGTAACTTCGCCAACGTGCGCAGTTGCGTCTCGACCTCCTCCACCAACGCCAACTGCTCCGCGTCTTCGTTGTCGTCCTCGCCTCCGGCGCCGTCCGGGTCGTGCGAGGCCAAAATGCCTTCCAGGCCTTCGACGAGCTCGCGGTAGCTCGCCACCCGCTCGTCGCGGCTCATGAGCCGCACATCGTCGTCCACGGCGTCCGTCATGCCGTGCTACCGAGACGATGAAGCAATCAAGACCGGTGGGAGGGGGAGGAGAGAGAGAGAGAGAGAGAGGAACACGAGGCAGCAGTATGGAAGGGAAGCGAGTCCAACCTGTGGTCTTACACCCCAACACGAAGCCGAATGAATATGTGCGTGTGTGTCTATGCGTGTATTTCTGTTGTAGTGAAACGCAAGGGGAGAGGGCAGGAGTGGGGAGGGAGGAGAAAAGAAATGAGAAAAAGGAGGAGATTACGAATGCGTCTCGTTGCGGAGCGTTACATGAGGAATACATCTATATATGTATATATACACTTGCGTGATATCACCGTCTACGAACGCGCTCGTAATAAACGAATCCACGCCCCGCTGCGCCGCGTTAAAGGAAAGGCAGCGAAAAGAAGGACTTGCGGCGACACAGCTGTTACCCCTCATGCCAACGGTGATACTTCTGCCTTTTAATTATTGATAGAAAAGATGTGGAGTGTGCCACGAGGTGTGTGGACAAACATACACACTGCGGTGCCCTCCACCACCCGCTTGCTGCGGTGCGCACGTTGCTGGCTACTAAACATCGTCCCCCCCCCTCCCCTTCTTCCTTGTGTCACGAGAACAAGAGTCGAGAGCTGAGGTCAAATCAAAAAAAAAAAAACGCATAACGAATGCGGGGCGGTGTGAAGCGTAATGTATAAGACAGTATAAATGCATTGTACATGTGTTGACGACGCCATGGGTGTTGCCTCGCCCCACCGACGATGCAGAGAGCTCCCTCAAATAGAAAAGCGACGGAGGCATGGAGGAAAGGATGAGGCGGCGCGGTTGACCGGCGAGCGGAACAGCCGACGGCAACGGACCGTCTCCAGGATGGTCGAACACACACACCCACACCGAAGGCCTACCCGCCCAAAAAACGAATAAAAACAATAGGCAGGACAGCGCTGCTTTCGTTCCACTGTCATCGACATCGACCTCGCTGCACAGTTCGTCTTCCCTCCTTTCTCCTTTACCTCCCTGTTGTTACTCATCGGCGGCCCATTCGCCCTCTTCCCTCTCCCGCTCCTCCGCCGCGGCGTCCGCCTCCTCTTGTTCCCGTTGCGCCTGTGCCTGCTGGGCACGCCGTGCCACTGCGTTTCGCCGGCGTTGCGCGTAGCCCTCCTTCCGCCGGCGCATCCGCCGCTCGAGCGCGGTGTAAAATGCATCTCGATTCGCCTGGTCAGCCGTCCGGGCCGCGAGCGCCATCTCCAGCACCTGCAGCGTCGGCAGCGACTCGTTCGCGGCTGCCATGACGGCGGGTGTGAGCTGCGACAGCACCTTTGCGGCTGCCACTGCGTCGGTCGCGGTGGCGCTTCCGTGGCCGCGTGCCGTTGCCGTCTCAGCCCCTGCGGTGGTGTCGACGACGCTGGACAGCCCAGCCATCTCGTCCGCGCCGTGCTCGACCAGAAACTTCACCATCGCGTGGGCCCGCGCGAGGACCGCCCAGTGCAGCGGTGTCCCGCCGTAGCGACTGCGCTTGCTGGGCTGCCAGCGCACCTGCAGCGAAGTGACCACCCCTCGGTCGTCTGTTCCCGCCGCAGCAGCGGTGTCGTTGCCGTGGCTCTCCGTTTCGTCATGGTGATGCGGCATCAATACGGCCTTTTCACGACAGGAGAAGAGGATGCCGTAGGAGTTCATGTTGACCGGTGGCGTGGTGCTGACGTGGATGAGCCCGTGCTCCTGCAGCTGCCGCGCGACGCTCTCGCGGTGGCGCTGCTCGGCCAGCAAGCACTGGTAAATGAGAAGGTCGTGCTGCTGCGCCTGCCGGTCCGTTTCTGCCGCCTCCGCCTCGCTCTCGTCGAATAAATCATTGTCATCGTCGCCGTCTGCAGACTCAGCGCGGTGGTCATCGCCATCGTCGTTGTTGATGCTGCTGTGGTGCGTGTTGTTCTCTTCCTCCTCTTCCGCCTCCTCTGCGGGCGTGGGGTCAAGCGTGTAGGCCCGCGTGACCCGCCTCAGCTGAGGGTCGGCCATCAAATCAGCCATCTCCTCCTCGCTCAGCAACTCTGCCAGCTCCTCCGCGACGTCATCGCTCACGATTTGGGCAGAGTCGTAGGACGGCCCACCCATGCGATGCTGCTGCTGCTGCTGCTGCGGTGTCTCGCCGCGCCCTCCGTTGCGGGTCGCATCGTCCTCATCGCCTGCCGGCGTATCCGCATCAAGAAGAGCACGAATGGCAGGGCTGGTGTCGATGTGGCACGGCGGCTGCCACCGTCCCGTGTAGACACCGCCGGTGGCCACGATGAGCTGCCGCAGCCGCTCCGTGTCGTCGTGGAAGGCTGCCGTGCAGAGGTCACGGGGACGGGTGTTCATCTCCTATAAATATGTAAGTGTGCAATAACAATAATCAAAAGCGTTGTGTGAGTTGAAGCGTCTTCGAGTTTTTTTATATCGCTATGCTTTCGCTAACAACAAACAAGAAGGGTTTATATACGGGTAGCGGGTGCCTGTTGCTTGTGTGCAGTGTGCGTGTGTGTGTGTGGGTGGGGGGGGGGGGGGAGTGTGTGAAGGCTCAGCATACAAAGACACAGGAGAGCGAGGCCCAGGTGTTGTGCTATCGTCGGGATCTGCAGTCAGGAAGAGGCATAACGGGGCAGGGAGAAGAGCGAATACAATACTAATAAGAAAGCCCGCGCGGTGAACGGCACACAGTGGGGAAGTCGCACACGCAAAGAAACAAAAAGAAAACATGTGTGTGCTGGAGAGCTTCGAGGAGTGCGCCGTATGCTGAACGTTGTCCATATCACGCGCACGCACGTGCCGACTGACTCTGTCAACGGAAGCGAAAACTTGCGAGAGATCATTGGTGACTTGAGGTAGGATTTCTCAAATGAATATATCCATGAAAGCGTCCGTTTTGGGTGTTTGCCCTTCGAAATGAGGAGCCTTTGGTTTCCTTCTTCCTTCTGTGAACTGTACACGCGCCCCCGCCTTGTCTTCTCATGGTCAACACCAAACGACAGTCAGAGACCGTTGTAGCACCGCGCGGATATACATATATATATCGCGCATCTGCGATATTCTGTTTTCCTTCTTGGCGGTGCCCTCTCCATCACAGACCCGTCCCTACGCAGGCGGTGCGGAGCGGCGTGCGTGCATCGCCCGCCTCATCGACTCCTGCGTCGACAGGCTCTCGGCCAAGGTGAGGCGCTTCTCTAGCAGCTCCTGGTACCGCGGATCCTCCTCCAGCGCGGCGCCCTTGTACGGGTTTGCGACGCTGCTGTAGTTCAGCGTGAGCACCCCCTTCAGGATGAGCCCGCCAAAGAAGAACGCGCAAAGGATGTACGCGTTGCGGCGAGCAGCGTGGAAGCCGACGGCCTCCTCGTACGCCGTGAAGGGCCGGTAATACGCACGAGGCATGCTCCTCAATATATATATATGAAAGGACGGTAACGACTAACGATAACGCATGCACGGCTGTGCGTGCGGGTGCGTGTGTGTCGGTGTGTGTGGGTGAGCAACCCCAACCGTACAAGGTACTTTGTCCTTGTGAAAGCCGGCTATTGCGCGGGAGGACGCGAAGAAGAAAACATAGAAGAAATAAGAGAAGAGAAGAGTGAAGTTCAGCCATCACGCCGTCTCGTACGTTTTATACCCCGAGCACCTCGGGCGGCTGCGGGGAGGCAACTCGAGTTACGGGCAGCTGATTAAAGAAAAAAAGAGAGTTGCTCGTCATCACGTTAAAGTCTTCACAAAAATACAACACCATCAACAATAAGGAGTTCCAAATTCATTGCGCCGAACAGCATCATCGCTTGACGAAGGTTGCTGGGTTGTGTCCCTCATACGGCGAGACCTGCACGACCGCTGCTCCACGCGGAGCAGGCGCCAACGACTAAAAAAGCGTGTGTAATCGCTCCTCTTTCTTTTCGACCTCTCTTTTTTAGATGGCCGGTAGGCGACGCGACAATAGCAAAAGAATAGTCGGTAGCGTCCACACATCGCCTCTACTCCGGAAGATTGAGAAACACTGATCACCCAAACAGTGTCGCTAAAAGAAACAAATATATATATATATATATATATGTATTACTGTAAGAAGCGCTTAAAACAAACAAAAAAAAAACTTAACAAAAAAAGAAGAAGAAAACACAGGTGCGTTACTTCCGTCGATACGACACGCGCGCGCATCGTTGGAGAGGCGGTGTAGAAGAAGAGGAAAAGTGAAAGGGAAAGGGCGGCTGACTCCCCCAATCGTCTAGGGAGAACCACGTAAAACAAACAAAGCCACCGCGGTGTTTACATATAGTTATGAAGTGCACTGGAGAAGACAGTACCAACGAAAGAGGAGAAAAACGGAAACGGAAAGACCAACAGGAAACAAAACAAAATAATAGAAAACAATTAATTAATTATACTAATAACAGCGCCTCTCCCACGCTGCGGCGCCACGAAGATGATGAGTGCCTCCGCATCACGTGAGCGCATTCCAACACCGTCGTGGAGCACCAAAATAGAAAAAGAAGAAGAGACAATAATAATTAAAAAGAACAGAGGTGGGTGGGAGAACAACGCTAAAGAAAAACAAAAACACACGACAGAAAACAAGGAGACAAAGAGGTTCATATGAGAAAAGCGGAGGGTGTGCGACACGCAAGTCCAGCACACGATCAGCCACGAACGCCCCTTTAGTTATTAACAGCGGAGAAAAGATCCGACAGATCATCGCGGCTTGCCGGATGAGGAAGAAACGAAGAGAAGGAGTATCCTCAACAAAAAACAAAAACAATTATATTTTTTTCCTCTCTCCACGGAACATAACTGATTAAGACACTTGAATGACGTACAGAATTCCTTTTTCTTGTGGACAGATAGATTGGAGGAAAGCGACGAAGAGGAGAAAAAGAAAAAAGGCGCTCCCTCCTGCGAAGGAAACGCCTGAGTGAAAGCGACAACAACTAACGACAGTTCCACCTGAGAAGTGTGAGGCACGCAGGTTGCTGACGCCGTTCGACACTACAGCAAAAACATAAAAAGCCCAAATAGCAAGCAGATCGTACACTAATATATATATATATATATTGTTGATTCAACACGGCACACACAGCTTTCAAAAGAAGAAAACCCAAGAGAACTCGATGCAGGTGTGGAAGTCACAAGATCCATTCCGCTTGCTACTTCACGGGCGAGTCACCCGGCCGCCATGCCTGCTTCAGCCGCTCGCTCTGGCGCACCTCGTTCGTCGTCGTGTCGAAGAAGTAGGGCCGGCCGCGGTACCTCTCATCGCTCGTCATGACCCACAGCATCACCTCGTACTCGCAGCCCTCGTCCTCCTTGCGCAGCTTCATGCGGGTCACCTGCCCGGGCCGGCAGTGCTTCTCCACCAGCTGCCGCACCTCCGCGATGCTCGTCGCCGGCTCGTTGTTGATGGACACCAGCTCGTGGTCGATGTCCACGCCGGTCTGGTCCGCCGGCCCGCCCACGAACACGCCGTCCACCACCAACGCCCCGTCCACGATGTTGTCGGCGAGCGAGAAGCCGATGAAGGGGCGCGCCTTCGACGCAGCCCTCGGCACGGCCGTCGTCGCCTTCACGCGGTCCTGGTACTCCCGGCCGTAGTGCGTCGCCGCCACGCGCATATCGGCTGCCGCGTCCCCTGTGAGAGAGTCTTCGCGCCCATCGCTCGACGACGGCGGTCCACTGTCTTTGCTGCTCGCGCTGTGGCTGGCGCATCGGTCCCTGGCTTGGGCCCCAGGTAGTTGTAGAAGACCCACAGCGCGAACAACACCAGCGCCACCGCTGACACGGTCGAAGTGTCTGGCATTTTCACTCGTACGAGAAGAGAGTGGGCAGTGCAGCGAGCGAGTGGGTAGGGGGAAACAGTTTTGGGGGCTATTGCCTACAATACGTAAGATAACAATAGTAATAACAATAATAATAATAAATGATATTGAGGCGGAAGAGCGCTGTAAATTGCTGGCTGAAATACGTATTGAAAGCGCAGCAGGAAAAAGAGAATAAGATATGTGTTTATACTCTTGGGGAAGTTGTGGAAGAAAGCGCTAGGAAGATGAGTGACAGATATATAAATAGATAATCAAAAATGAAGTCTTCAGCGTATTTGAAAAAGAGCGAGAGGGGTGCGTTTGGTTTTGACAGCAGCAGCAGAAGTGAAAGGGAGAGTTGTGGTGGTCAGCAGCAGCACACGTCGCGTTGTACGTGGATTGTGCCGTGTAAAGCGTGCGAGTGAAGGAGAGACGCGGCGGCAGCGGCGGAGGAGCCAGAGAAAGGAAGAGGGAGATCGTGTAAGAGCACTAATAATAGAATACACAAAGAGCATTCTTCTTTTTCTTTTTTACGGCTCGGCGTCCACGAGGGAACCGCTTTCGGTGGCCAAAAGCGCACGGACAGCGGAGTAAAACCGGTGCGACAGCACCACCAGAAAAAAAAACATGAGTAGAAGAAAAATCGCGTTGAGCAAACGGACTTCCACCTCTTTCGCTCTTTCTCTATCGCATGCACTTCGATACGCTTCCGTTTGCATTTTCTTTTTTGTTGTTGTTGTGTTTAGAATCACCGCCTGAAGTGCAACGAGCGTTTTCCCAGCCCGTCTACCCTCACTACCACGCTTGAAAAGAAGCACCACATAATTACTGAAAAGAGCGACGGTGGGTGTCACACAAGCAGTGGATCATCAAAAGGAAAACAAAATCATGCAGCTTTATGTATACTACTACATATATATATTCGCTCATGCATCTGTGGATCACGTATGCTCTACGATTAAAAATGGAATACGTACTCTTCAAACGCCGGAATGTGTGAGAGAGAGGGCTCACGGAAGACGAAGAGACGATGCCAAGAAAGAGCGCGTGCCGTTCTGTGGAGTGCAGGGCTTCGAAAGAGACAGCACTTTTGTGTAGTAAACAGTGGAAAAGTAATAAATAAATATGAACATGGAATAACACCGACGACTCAACGAGCGTGTGCAATTCACTGAGCAAATATCTCTCACGTACACACCCATCCCCCGAAAAAAAAAAAGAAAGACCGGAGTCGAAATAAAAAACAATAGTAGTAAATAAATAGGAGTACTATTGGAGGGACAGCGATGGGCTGCCGTGAACCGACGGGAACGGTGGCCACCGCAGCTCGTGCGTACATGACACGTTCGTACCGGTGTAAAGGACGCGCACGAGCACACTCCCTCGCCTCTTAACAAAAACAAAAACTACCTAACTAATAGAAGAACGCTTTCTTTTCTTTTTCACTCCTCATCTTTCGCTCTTTCGAGAGGCATTGCGCCTCTCGGCTACTATGGAAAGAAGAAAAAATAATGATGATCATCATAAAAGGAGGCGCTGCTGGAAAAGGAAGTGTGAGAAGGTATTCGCCGGGCCTCTTCGTGCGTGCATCGTGCGTGGAAGGAAACCTCCCCCCCCCCCCCAATTACGCGACGAAAAGGGAGACGCGGACATCAAGAGCGAAGCTGAGTGGGCGCGAAAACTAACAACAAAAAAGAGTAAGTAAGAAAACCAGAGACAAAAAAACGTACAGAAGAATGAAGGCAAAGACGTGCGCCGCGCGTTTGGCTGCGATGCGCCGAGGAGCGATCACGGCTGATGCGGTCCCCTTCCGCGCCACGTTCACGAGAGCCATTCCGCTTGCTACTTCACGGGCGAGTCACCCGGCCGCCATGCCTGCTTCAGCCGCTCGCTCTGGCGCACCTCGTTCGTCGTCGTGTCGAAGAAGTAGGGCCGGCCGCGGTACCTCTCATCGCTCGTCATGACCCACAGCATCACCTCGTACTCGCAGCCCTCGTCCTCCTTGCGCAGCTTCATGCGGGTCACCTGCCCGGGCCGGCAGTGCTTCTCCACCAGCTGCCGCACCTCCGCGATGCTCGTCGCCGGCTCGTTGTTGATGGACACCAGCTCGTGGTCGATGTCCACGCCGGTCTGGTCCGCCGGCCCGCCCACGAACACGCCGTCCACCACCAACGCCCCGTCCACGATGTTGTCGGCGAGCGAGAAGCCGATGAAGGGGCGCGCCTTCGACGCAGCCCTCGGCACGGCCGTCGTCGCCTTCACGCGGTCCTGGTACTCCCGGCCGTAGTGCGTCGCCGCCACGCGCATATCGGCTGCCGCGTCCCCTGTGAGAGAGTCTTCGCGCCCATCGCTCGACGACGGCGGCGTGTCGGCCGCCTTGGCTGCCGTGCCGTCCTTCCCTGCGCTATCCGGTTCACTGTTGAGGTACCTATACAGGGAGCACAGTCCGAGCGCAAGAAGCACCACGACGCTAACCTTCTTCTCACGTGCCGTCTCGCGCCAGATGGCGAGGACGGAGGAGGCTGGCGGAGCAGCCATTAAAAGAGAGTCCGCACACAGGAAGAAAGGAAAAAAGGAAAAGACACGCCTAATCGTTATGATGTGAAGGCCGTTGCTGATGCGCTACTTGATTGTTGTTATTGTTGTGGTGTGTGTGGTTGTGGATGTGATATCTGCTTTGTTTTGATGAAGTCTCCTTTCTGCCTCCGTTCCTTCGTTGAAGCGGAGATGCGATTCGCGTAGCGCGTTAAAAAAAAGTCGAAAACCCAGCTGCAGAGAGAGACAGCGGGATGTCGAAGAAAAAGATTCAGTGAAACGGCACAGAAGAAAGTAAGAATAAGTTGTGCCTGCGACGGCACCGCAGCGCCTGCTGCAGCCGCAGTGTGTGGCGCAGCGAAGTCCATCGTGCGGAGCAGAGAGACAAGCGAGAGAGGTGTACGAGAAAGAGTTGAAGTGTGCAACGCTGTTGGTCCAGAGCGACTCCTCTTCCTTTCTCGCAGGCTTTCTTTTTTTAACAGTGGAAAGCAGTCAACAACATTAAAACGGCGGTAGGTGCTTATCATGTCCATCGTGGCAACTTGAGTCACTCGTTGCCTCAGCTGAGAGCAGCACGTCCATGCGCGGACAAATCATAGAAGCAGCGGATCCTATTGCGCCATGGAGGTAATCCATTTTCGGGCCTTGTACGTCGGTGCGCAGCGGCATCGAAACCCGCAGCGAGGGAGCAAGAGTGGGTGGGCGAAAGGATAACGATGTATGGGAAAGCGATGCCTGTGCGAGTGTGTGTGTGTCGGCAGCGCGCAGGCAAACACACACACCCACAGATGTCATTCGATCGCGGCTGTTCTACGCCAAGCAATAACAAACAAATACACAGAAAGATGATGATGGGAAACTCAAAAAAAAAAGGGGGATGGAACCACCGGCAAGGAACGGCGATGACGATAACCACGAACCACAGCAAAATCCTTACCCATTATTAATTCTTTTTCCGTGAGATTCCCAAGCGAACCCGACTGAAGATGAACGCCAACCCGCATCACCAACGGAGGAGAGAGAGAGAGAGAACACACGTGATATAAGCTGTTCCGCTCCAAACAATAATTTCTACAGATAAACGAGAAAAGAAAGAAGGATCGGAGGGGAGGAAAGGCGCCGGCCTCCCCGTCGCTTTCATTCCGAGGAGTACAGCACGCAAAAGCGTCGTCGACTCGAAGGAGAACGGAAAAAAAAAGGCCTCGATCAGAAAACAGTATCCACAGGCTATCAGGTCAGTTCTGCAGCATACGGTGCCGCGGTTTCGACTCGCCCCGCCCCGGCGACAGTCCGTTTGAGCCCGTCGCCGTTGCCGCCGACCTCACATCATCGTCAAAGCCACCGCTGTCGTCGTTGCCGCGGCGGTGTGAGCTCCTTGGCGCCGGCATCGTAGGCCGCTGCGGGGTCACGGCGGCAAATGAAGAGGCGGGTGACACATACAGCTCTTGCCGCGACCGCGGCGTCGTCTCGCGCGCAGGTGACGTGCGTGGTGTGTTGTCGGCGGACACGGCCGGCGTTCGCAGCACGTCCATCGACTCGACGATGTTCTTCTTGCGCGGGCTCTCCAGACGGTCGTGCAGGTGGACATCAAAAAAGAAGGGCTTTTCGCTGTGCTGAGGATCCGCCGTCATGATCCACAACGCCACGCTGTACTGCTGGTTCATCTGGGTAACGAGGGTGAAGGGCGCTACGCGGCCGCAGCGGCAGCGCGCGTCCACCACCCGGCGGGCCTCAGCAATCGTGTTCACCGCCACGCCGCAGACACGCAGCAGGATGTCCCCAATGCGAATGCCCGTTTGGTAGGCCGGCCCGCCCTTGTACAACCCATCCACCACCAAAATCCCTCGTTTCACATCTTCGGCCAGCGAGAAGCCAATGAAGGGCCGTGGCGGCGGCACGTTAAAATCGGGCAGGGCTTTGGCCATCATTCGCTCGCGGTACTCCGCATTGTAGCCGGCGGCGGCGTCGACGAGGTCCCTTTCCGCCGCAGCAGCAGCCTTGCCGGCGGCGTCGCGGTCTTCACTCTCGTCGTTCGTTAAGGCCGTGCGCGCCGCGTGCTCATCCGTCACCATCAACGACCGCGCCGCCGGCTCAGCGGAGGCTACTAAAGCATGAAGTTCGTCATTCATGCGTTCCACCTCAGCCGCAGCGTCCTCCTCCGCCTCCAAACGGGCGGCTTCTGCGTCAGCAGCGCGGGCGTGTGCGTCATCCGCGTCCTGCTCCAGCTGGCGGCGCGCATCGGCCTCCGCATCCTCGACGGCGCGGCGGTCGTCGGCCTCCTCGTCCTCGGCGCTGCGGAGCGCTTCGGCAGCGTCCTCCTCCGCCTCCAAACGGGCGGCTTCTGCGTCAGCAGCGCGGGCGTGTGCGTCATCCGCGTCCTGCTCCAGCTGGCGGCGCGCATCGGCCTCCGCATCCTCGACGGCGCGGCGGTCGTCGGCCTCCTCGTCCTCGGCGCTGCGGAGCGCTTCGGCAGCGTCCTCCTCCGCCTCCAAACGGGCGGCTTCTGCGTCAGCAGCGCGGGCGTGTGCGTCATCCGCGTCCTGCTCCAGCTGGCGGCGCGCATCGGCCTCCGCATCCTCGACGGCGCGGCGGTCGTCGGCCTCCTCGTCCTCGGCGCTGCGGAGCGCTTCGGCAGCGTCCTCCTCCGCC